AGCAGCATTCAACTCAGCAGCTCCCGTAGACCGCTCAAGCCACTTTCCCGTCCCCACCCACAGCAGTGGCAGGAGCACACCTGCCTACAGCGCCAATGTCTCCCGAGGCAACACGCCACTACCACAGCCCTCCTCCAGCAGCAATGCGCTCCTCGACGACGATGACGACATGTTTGGTCTCAAGCAGATGGCGCAAAAGTCTACGTCGCCTGCTCCAGCGCCAACGACCAACGCTGCCGACGATGATATACTAGGCTTGTTAGGAAAGCCGGTCTCCGAATTCCAGCACAAGGAAGAGCCTCGGACAGCACCCGCGGAGGAATCTCGACAACAAACATCTCCAGGCCCTCAGAACGCGCATGACAAAGCCGTTGCTGAACTTGTGGACATGGGCTTTCCAGCTGAGAGGTCGGCAATTGCTCTTGCGACCACAGATTCTGGGCTCGACGTGCAGGCTGCTGTGGGATGGCTGTTAAACCAGGCGCATGCCGAGGCGAAACAGAAAACGCATTCGCAGAGCCAAGACAGATCACGTCGAGAGCCTGATGATTCAGACGAGCGCCCGAGGCGTGGGAATAGCAGATCCAATGGTCGGGAGTCGTCAAGAGAACCACGGGCAAGCGGCTCTAGGCCCGCGTGGATGCAAGAAGATGAAGCGCGAAGCCGTTCAGGACAACGTAGGCAAGAAGGTCAAGAAAAAGACGTCACCCAAATGGCTTCAGATATTGGCAACAACCTATTCAAATCGGCAAACTCTCTCTGGAAGACGGGCCGCAAACAAGTACAAAAGGCTATGGCCGATTTCCAACAGGAGGGTGATCCAAACATGCCAAAGTGGATGAGAGACGCCCAGGCTGCGGAAGCTGCTCCTCGTTCAAGTCGACAGCAAAAGGCCGAGGCGTCGGCTACAGACGAAGCCATGATGCTGGAAGCTGGTGGGCGTCCCACGAAGCCATCCCGGACGAGCGACATGCGCCACCAAGCCGAACCGCTACCTGTACGACAAAGAAGAGAGCAAGAAACCGGACGAAACGGTTACCCAGACCGCATGTCATCGCAATCGCCGTCACAGCGACAGCAACCATCAAGTCTGGATAAACGACCAGCAACGCGATTGACCCGGCAAGAGGTGGAGGAACAAAGCTCTCAAGCATACATCAGCCCTGCTCGCCGGAAGAAGACTACACCGCAGCCACAGCCGCAGCCTGAAGTGGATCTTTTCTCTCCAGATCCCACGCCGCCGTCAAAGCAGTCTTCGCGCCAACCAACGCCTGCTCAATCCAACAATCCATTCCTCCAAGCAACATCGTCCCAGAAAGCTCGAAGTCCGGCTCCTACGCCAACGCCACCCAGGCCAAAGGCACCGCCCCGTCAAATACCTCCAGTCTCATCCTCCGCGCTCAGCTCATCTTCAGCCGACCGGCAAAGAGGTTCCGAAGCATTCAAGCGTGGTGATTACCCTGCTGCACACGCTGCCTATTCTTCTGCACTGAGTCCTCTTCCAAGCAATCATCCTGTCACGATCATTGTACTCTGTAATCGCGCCGTTACGAACATCAAAGTTGGCGATCCGAAGGCAGCAATCGCTGATGCCGACTCAGCTTTAGCGATAATCGGCGTGTCAAGAGGAGAAGGCGAGAAGATTGCTACGGGTGGGATGGAAGGTGAAAAAGACATGAAGGAATTCTATGGCAAAGCTCTCATGCGAAAAGCCGAAGCATTGGAGAACATGGAGAAGTGGGCAGATGCACATGGCGTATGGAAAGAAGCCGTCCAAAATGGTGTAGGCGGCGCAATCGCCATTTCCGGTCGCAACCGCTGTGAGAAAGCTGCAAGTGGGAATAGCAACGCCCCGGCAGCTACTAAACGCCCGCCTCCAGCCCGCAAGCCCGCTGCTCCCAAACCCTCTGCCATGTCAGATCTTGGTGGTGGTCCCGCCAATGACTCTGAAGCCGTCAAACGCATGAAAGCCGCCAACGCCGCCGCCGAACGTGCAGACGATGAGAAATTTGCCCTTACCGACCAAGTCGATGCCAAACTCATTGCTTGGAAGGGTACCAAGTCAGATAACCTGCGTGCGTTACTGGGTAGTTTAGATAAAGTGCTCTGGGAGGATGCAGGGTGGAAGAAGGTCAACATGGGTGATCTGGTCATGCCCAACAAGGTCAAGATCATCTACATGAAGGCTATTGCCAAGGTGCATCCTGATAAGGTATGTTCTTTCCTCTCCCATGTCCAAAACAACAGGACGGTTTGCTAACCTAATTCGTTACAGATATCTCAATCGGCCACCACAGAGCAGAAGATGATTAGTGCGGCTGTGTTTGCCACATTGAACGAGGCGTGGGATAAGTTCAAGACGGATAACAATTTATGATCTATCTAGCTATCTCGACATGATGAATTCAAGAGCATGTCAACTTCAATCATTGTTTGTGTCGTCATATTGAGTCGTCGAGAAGAGGCACGTTTGCTGTAGTAATCATGTCGTCCCGATATCGTATTTCTTTGATCAATTCCGTCTAATGTAGGGATACAGGGGCGGCAAGATCACCATCACTGCACTACTCATTCCTAATCCCTCCATCTCCAAGATAAACTTTAGGTACGTTACTGCATCTCGGCCGCTACTTTGGGTACAAGAGCGGAAAGACGTGCCACTGCGTTCTCACCCAATCGTTCTTCCCTCCTCGAGAGCGCTTTGTATCCGCTCTATCCACACGCAAAAGCCGTAGTGGTGGTACCTTGTCACGGCCTCGGCCTCGGCCACCAGCAGCCAGCTAGACAGGTATCTTGCGTCATGCCGAGTTTCCGTCGAACGTTTGAGTATCCACCTCATGTCTATTCTGCGGAGCAAAGCGCAGTAAGAAAACTTAGTTCCAGGCCATCTTTCCAATGAACTGAAGATGATAGAGACGTGATGGTGAAACTTGGAAAGACTTGGCAAAATCGTGAAACTCTTCTCTGTCCTCTCCTGCAAACGTTCTTACCCATTTACTCTGGCGCTGGGTTTTGCATCCTGAAGTGGAAGGTGCGCACGTGCATGAACGGCCGGCCCTGGAACACCTGGGCACTGAAGCTTGTACTCGTGTGACGTGTCGTGTTGAAAAGCTAGATTTGTGGAATCTGGTCCACTAATGCTGTCTCTTCGGTTATGCGGCCGAAGGAACATGTTCTTGGTATGACACAACGACGACGACGCAGGTGATGCTGCTGGAAAAACAAGGACACATCTGGAACGCATTTTACGAGATACGCTGTCGAAATCGGACCGGGCAATGTAAATTCGCCGGTTTCCGCTTGCTACATTGCTTTTGGTTTCCGCTAAATTACGTTTCGGGTAGTTAGTAGTAGGTCGGTTCTTGTCCCGCCCGGTAGTCATGGAGGAGAAAAAAGGGAGCGGTACTAGTATCAGAGTTTGGCACGTTCGATTAGGGCATTTGGTCGAACTTGTGGTGGCTGCCCAGGGAGACATTGTCATTTCGTATTTACTCTGGGACCGCTCGAAACAGACTTTGGCTAGAACTCAGCTCCGGTAGCTTGCTTCTGCTGCTCGAACAATGAGCAGACGATGATCTTGTTTGCTTGTTCGCTCAAGTGCGCTGGCAAGTGCCGACCTCGGGACAGTCTAGAGCGGGAGTTGGTACGCCAAAGTCTTAGTTGCGGGCTATGAGGCCGTGTGTCACGTTTCCGCCTCTGAAGAAGCGCGTGGTCGGTAGTTTCCCGTACTACCGGTAGTCGTGGGCTTTTTGCTAGTTACCCTTAGCGGGGAGGCACTACTGCCTCCTTGCGCTTTCGCATCTAGATCACCGGTGCCGTAACATACATACCGTGTGGGTGATGCTGTGATCAGCTGGCACGTATTCGGACTTTCAGTGCCACAGGCCTGGGCGATACATCTTGGTACCAATGGTGATCGGTCGTAAAGTGCATATGATGTCGTCATGATTATCTCCTTGCTGTACATCACTTAGCCGACCACTCTCGAGCTTCGATCCGCGGGCCTCCTCCTTCGTATACCTCATCTGTCTGTTGTTGGATTGTTGGTGTGGACCGAAGGCGTCCCGGTAGTGGTGTGGAGCGTTTAATTGACCAGGGAAGAGTGCGATAATCGTCGACGTGCAAGTCACACATAGGGTCCCTTGGCTTCATCTTAGACATTGTGGCTTAGAAAGTCCCGCGTCCCCGCATGAGTCAACCTTGTTGCTTGCTTATTGCGGTCACGGCGCAAGTGTAGCACCCGAGGTGCAAGGTACGGGTACTCTATTTCCGCGAAGTGGATTTCGGGCAAAGCAAACGCGTTGTGTGAGGGAGTACTGCAGCAAAGCTCGATCATGCTTTGATGATACCGCTTCACCATGAGCAGGATTTACTGCCTAGGTCTTACGAAGTGAGATATCTGCTATCTCGTAACACTACGACAGATGATTTAGAGTCCTTGAGTAGTTAAAGATTCTGTTTATAATATCGTTTGATGGTACAAGGTGCCAATCATTATGCGCGCATGATCTTGGTAAGTGATAATTGTACAAAGCCGCTCCATGACACATGGCCGAGAATGAGAATGAGACTTGAAAGACAAGAAAAATAATACCGCATGAACCTTTGCGAAAGCATCCTCCGTCCATTCACGGCTTTTGAGAGTAGTACGAATACAAATTTCTCGTGAGTTCACAACTTGGAGAGGGCAGCGTCGTGGGGATAACATGCGATCATCGTCCATATACGAACGCACTCCTAATAGGCCATAGGAGGCTGAATCGCTTTTCAGCCCTTGCAGATGCATGCTCTCTTTCAGAGCGGATTCTGCTGATGCTGGGCGCGTTGGCCAGACGAACGCGGTTTGGAGATCGGGCCGAGGTTTATGCAGCGTGCGACACCATTGCATAACCACAGATCCGAGACAATTACAAGAAGCGCATACAAAACCGATGTGGTCCAAGGAAAAGACGTAAGCCGGCATTGGTTCGTGGAGTAGCAAGTATTGATGGACAGGCATTTTACTGACTCGTAAGCTGACCCACAACGCCGAAAAGCAACTGGTCTTCGGTCTTATACAACGCATCATCGTTTCCGAAAGCCGTCTCAAGACTGTTGCCGATCCTCCAGAAATTTCCGTAACTTCCGTTGCTTATGCCTTGGCCCTGTTGTGCGGCAATATCCATGAGCTGCTTGATCCGATTCGATACTGTCTTCTGCTGCGCTTTTGCAGAAGCCCAAACGCCTGCTAGTTCGTCGATACAGGTCAGTGTAGTGTTGAGTGTCTCGATCAAAGTCGGCAATGATGATAACAGCCCGGCAGAGGTCAATACATCGACCGAAAGCATGAGCGCGTAACCAGGGAAAGGCGTCGAGAACGAGAGGTCCGAGGCAACGGTGGGCGAAAGACGTTGGCGGCTAGCTGGAGCTAGGGAAAGCATCATCGACAGAAAGTTGGACGCCATGCGTAGGGCTCGTTCCAGATTTCGGCGTTGTTTTTCCATTGGTAATATGCTGACTCTGATATGGCGATTGAGCCGGATGATTGTAGCGTAATACAAAGCGTGTATAGACACGAATGTACCTGCGTATCCTGCAACCATGCTGTTGTCGAGATTTCGTGGGCTGTAACGAAGTTCCTCCGGCAACATCGCATGCCATGCTTCCAGCTTCTCATTGATTCGCGTGTAGAACGTGTCGTAATGTCGTTCATAGGTACTGTCGGGCCGACGCGCAGCTCGGCTAGTGAAGGTAAGGACCTCGCCCCATAGCGTCGATATCAGGCATAGATACGCCATGTGGCCAAGAACGGGGCCAGAAGTGGCATTTCCACTCAGGAGATCTTCGTCTAGGATCGGCGCGTTACACGGTGTTGATGCATCGTACATGCTGTCCAGACATGGGAGCTGAACGAAGGCATCCTCCAAGTTGAGGACGAAAAGGGTCCCTCCGAAGAAGCCATTGTATCGCTGTTGTTGCATCAAGTCAACGGATGCTGGGACCTTGATGACGTCGTGACTTACATCCATCAGTAGTCCGGACCAAAAAGTGCGACGACAGCACTCCGCGAACATTTGACGATCAAGTCCATAGTCCCAATCGGCACTGCTATCAACCAGCTCTTTAACGCCTTCTTCAGAATTCAGCTTCAGGGCGCTGAGAGCTCGCAGACCAGCACCACAATAGTCCCAGGCCTCCTGTGACTTGCCGCGAGCAAAATAGTAGAGCGCGAGCATCAGCCGAGTCTGGCATAACTGCAGGCTGAATTTCCCGAACCGCTTTTCTGCTGCATATGACGCAACCGAAGCGAACTTCTTTCCCAGGGCTTTCTTATCTCCATCAACCGAAAACAGTGAGCCTATAGCCAGGACTGAGTATAAAAGCATCAAGTGGTCGTGGTTCTTGTCGCGGTTACCCTCTACCCATGCGAGGAAGGGTCTACGAGGAAACATGCCATAGGTCGCGCGACCCGCGTGATTGAAATAAAGATCCAGTAGGTGCATCGTCAGTCCAGGGTCAGTTTCGAAAGGATCCTGTTCCCATTGGAGGGCAAGTTGATCGGAGTAAGAGCCACGTCCGGGATCGTCAAGGCTCTGGTCATTTGCCGAACCACTCCAATCCGAATCGTACGACTGTACCGACATGTCTCTCGGGTCCGTGCTAGTATGATGGCGGTACTTTCGAGGTCTGAACGGGGTTCCGGAGTTCCAAGTGTCAACCTTTCTTGATGAGTCTCGCAGCTCTCCGGGAGCTTTGTTTCTATCTGAGTTGGCTGCGGGACTCAAGACTTCGGACGAATGGTTCTTAAATAGCGGAGCGGAGTTTGACGGTGATGTCTCGCCGGATGCATTGCTTTGATTGAGTCCTCTACCATTGGTTAGTATTTGTCATTCTATAATAGAACTATAGTCCTGTCTGGTCCGAAGTGTATAACAAGTCAATTAAGTCAATGCGTTCCACGTTCTCGAATGAGAAAAGAAGGGAACTGCAAACAGGGAGATCCACTTACCCTCTGCATACTCTTTGCGACTTGGCGCATTGCTGGCATTTTGGATACCCGGGCTCGCACTTGATCTTCTTCTCTCGACAGGTAAGGCAAGCCTGCGCGAGTCGTTTTCGAGGCTTCCCCGCCTTCGTAATGCCCCAGGAAGGGTTCACGGCCTCGCCGTCTATTATAGCCCGACAGTAGGTGCCGTCCTCGTAGACGTAGCATGGGCCTTCGCCAGGTATATCGCGCTGGCCCACACAACGCGACGATCGTACCGGAGCTCTTGAGGAACCCTCCAGTCGTCTCATCCTGACAGGCCTACTTGGGTCAAACCCTAGTTCTTGCTGAACGGAGTGAGTCGTCATCGTTCCCGTCGCATCAGACATGAGCGAAGCCTGCCGATGCCCATTTACCGCCAGCTCATGCTGTGAAGGATGTGCAAAACTTTCGCGCCGTTGGAGATCTACTCGGCCGACACCAAACCCAGAGCCGGGTGGTAAGGATGTGGTGGATGTGGTGGCGTTTGTGGTCGAAAGAGGTTGACGGTGGTGGTAGGGTGTTTGAGAAGCGATAGCATTATGCTCTGGGTAGCCATGGAAGTAACCATCATATTCATGCCGTCTCTTCAGTGTCGGACTTGACGACCCGTAACGACCGCCATGGCTGTAAGGTACCGGAGCGCCGCCCGCTCTCAGCGATGGATCAGACGACTTCTTGTCCAGTAGTTCTGGTTCCAGAAGCGTGCGAAGACTTGGTAATTGCTGCGCATTGTTATGACTTCCACTGGAATCTCTGGGGCGAACGTGCTGACTGGGGGCAATGATTTCTGGTCGAGACGATGAAGCATGATGTGCTGGGTAAGGGCTGTAGGATGGCGGAGGACCTGAATGTGAGGGTATGCTGGGTGGACGACTCATGTTGAGAAGCATAGCAGGTAAGATGGGTTTTGATGTTCGGCGCTTGAGGTGGGATGATTTCCACGGTACACCCCGTTGACCGGCCACATGAGGGAATATGGAACAGTAGGAGCTATGGACTGCCTAGGATGCTCAAGGGATCCAGGCACTGCTCAACGCTTGACACTGATGCAGCCACGGCATCAGCTAGTAGACAACCTAACGGGTACATAAAGGTACGTGAAGAAGTCAGGAAGGTGGCCAACGAACAGAAGCGTCTGGCCTTGACTAGGATGTCCGTTGCAGTCTAGAAAATAGACCAAAGAATCAACAGTCCGTGCAGGGCTGACGTCTGACGACTGAGCACCGCTGTTCCGGCTCCGTATGAACCGCAACCGAAGCACAAAGCAACAGTGCATGTAAGAGCGTATGTAGGGGCGACGCGGGAAGAACTTACAGATACAGGGATTAAGATATGCGGCGCGGGCGCTCCTTCTGGGCGCAATTGACACTGAGCACGCAGCGAGCACGGCTTCGGTTGCTTGAACGCAAGGCAAAGGATAATAGTAATAAGTACAATAATGCCGGGTAGCAAAAGTGGAGGGTGGGCGGACGACAGCGGGACCCCGTGCTCGGCCAGTCAAGAGGTTACCAGGAGGCCCTTGCAAGAACAGGCTTCAAGGAGGAGCGACCGCGGCCTCCAAGTAGGTCAGCGATTATTCCAGTGGCGTGCAGTGACGGACCGCCAGGGACATGGTCGTGGAGCCTTTGCTGTTTGAGACCCGAAGATGCTGGAACCGACCAGGGTATGAGCAAGCCAGCCGGAATATTGGCTGCAGATATCGAGTCAACCACCCTCTGCGGGCTAGATAGCGTGCTGCGTCAGATGCAGACTGATGCACGTTACTGCAGTCGTGGATGGCGCGTGGGCAAGTGAGCCCCAGATCGTACCAACTGGCAGCTGGCCAACCGCAGCTAATCCGCTAATGACCTGTGCAGATCATGCAGCGTGGGCTCGGAATGCAGCGAACATGTCCTTGCTATTTTGCCGCGAAACTCTGGGACCTGGCGTTAGGTTCTGGAGCGGATCCGACCAATAAGCTTCACTTAGATTGAGGCCAAGGGCTGGAAGCAGCTAAAACGTGCAGCCACCATAAACGACGCCTCTCGCTGCAGGAGAAAAGAGGGCAAATAAGCCGCCGTCAACGATGCGAACAGAAAGACAGGTGTCCCGGCGGCCGGCCCTACGGTGCCCACAAACAGCCTTTTGTCCCCGCTCGACAATGGACTGGCTGGTGCCAAATGCTGACACGAGCGATGCCGTTGTCGTCAGCTAAAAAGGCGCCGACAAATCCTAGCTAAAGCGGCACCAGAATCCGATCGGAACGAGCTCACAGCAGCCGTTGAGCGGGCGATTGAGACCATCTCGATCCTCTTACGTCCCGGATCCCCTAACGCCTCTGGCCTTGCTTGCATGAAGCCAACTTGGCCCGCTCCGAACGGCTCTAAGCTTAGCGGTCGGTTTCTTGACTGCAAGCTCCCGAGTCAATGCACATCTTCGGGCGCCTTGAGACTCCATATAATAAGGGCTTTCTCCGGATGCTCTGGTGGCTTGAAGACGAGATTTGGTCTGTCACATCATCCGGCCTAGCGATGGAAGCGCGTGCGCAGCGTGCTTGTCGTGCCGTCGAGGCTTGCTGCAACGACGATGCAGGATCGGCTGTCGTTTCCCGTTCTCGGCGATGACGCCCTCAAAACTTTCGCACCACCCGTATTTATTATGAGACAAAGGACCGAGTGATCAGGCGAGCGGCCGGGAACTGGCAAGGACTAAGGCGCAGGCACAAGCGGATCGCCGTTGAGCTGGACCGAAGCGAAGCGGCTTGCGAGTCAGTGCAGATGATGGGGTATCAGTGTATCGGGAACGAAAGTGCCAAGGTCACATGCACGCTCCGTCTGCTTACGTCGCTAGCGCAGTGCCAAGCCAGCTCCGAAGTTCTTTGTGCAGGTGCGACCGGGGCGACTCGCAACAACAACACCAACGCTACTGACCGTGCCGGCAACCTCTCTGTCGACCTCGTGCATGCAACCAGCCTCTAAACCGGGCACATCCTTTCTAACATCTTCAAGTGTACAGAGACTCTGCAGCATGGCTCTCCAGTCCGGCCACCAAGATCAGGAGCGCAAGTCCTCGCCAACTGCCGCTGCGCAGCCGGGCGACGGCCGCGCAAGTACCCCGGAAGTCGCGTATGTCAAGCCCTCGGATAGGGAAACTAGCTACACGTCAAGCGCCTCTGCGCCTCTCCCGTACGATGGTGGCGCGCCTCCCCTCCCCGACGAGCCTGTCCCAGACGACGAGGACGATGGCTGGGAGCCCAGGTGGGAGCCCAACGCAGGCGCCTGGTACTTCCTAAACCGCAAGACGGGTCTTTCGCAGTGGGAAAATCCACGCGTTCCGACCGCCCCAACCCACAGCCTCGGCTACGACAGGTTTGCTAACTATCATCTTCTTTTCGTGTCTTTCCCAGCCTAATACGTGCACTCTACAGAAACCCTTACGCTGGCGCCGCTGCACTGTCATCAAGCTCTGGCGCGCCGGGTACCAGCCCACCACCAAAGCGCAAGTGGGGCGGATACAACCCCAAGATCCATGGCAGCTTCGACCCCAACGCCGACTACGCCAAGGAGGCAGAGAAGGAGGAAGAGGATGCAGCGCAGGCCTCCGCTGCTGCAGCCTCCGCAGCTCGCAACGCGCTCCTCCCTAGCAATGACTATACTACAACTGCCCAGTTCAACCGTTTCAACGGCAAACAGCAACAAGCTGGTCAAGGTCCTGAGATGCACAACGATGAAAACAAGAGTCATCGCCAGATGAATGCCTTCTTCGATGTTGATGCAGCCGCCAATAGCCACGACGGACGTAGTCTCAAGGCAGAGCGTCGCTCTCAGCACCTCAGCAAGAAGCAGCTCAAGGAGTACAACGAAAAGCGCCGAGCCGCGAAGGACGCGAAGCGCCGTGCCTGGCTTCTCGACTGAGCGTGTGGGCGGTAAGAAAGAGAGAATAGCAGTGCAGGTTCCAACGTGTACTAATGCAAGCTAGGCATGGGCAACACCCTTGGATTGATGATTACATGTCTATCTGTCAAGGTAGGGTCTCACGTCTGTTCCGGTGCCTTTGGATGCGATAGTATAGCATGATGGGACTGTGCGTCTTCGCTCAGCGTCGTGGTATGAACCACACATGTTTTACATGAGCATGATGACTGCTCATTGTGTACTCGAGCGGATGACCAATGATGAGAGCCAGTCTACTTTCTTGACTAGGTGTCTGGATACAGGTGGCATTGCCAGCAGGAGTAAGCCTCTATTGCTCGTAGTCACAACTGGAAGCTAGCAAGGTCTTATACACTTCAGTGCATGACCCATAGATACAATGGCATTTTTGTTGCCTTGTTCATCAACCAATACTGCTCTCTTATGCCCCGCGTTCGTCTTTCTAGACCTTGCCCTGGAACCGTGGCTGTCTTGCACAGGCCCGCGCCACGTGGAGCTCGGCCTTGCCATGAACCCCATGCCATCATGTTCCTTGCAGGTCGCACGCCGTCAGTAATATATGTATATTGCGGCCAACGATGCAGCTGCTTCAGCCACCCTTCGAGACGACGTCCTGGGTACTCATGTCCGCCATCTGCTTCCGAACGCCTTCCACTGTCGGTTCAGCTGCGACCCCTTGCGCCGGTGCAATGCTGTCTTGGGCGCGCTCCGCTTCTGCATCTGCATCATCCATGTTGTCCTCTGCGTCTCCGGCTTCCGGCTGGTCATTCTGTCCAATGCCATTCTCCAGCTCTTCTACGGCTCCGAGCAGCCAGTCTACCACGTCGTTCTTGTCGTTGATCTCCGCTTCGTAGACCGCATCGTGGCCCGCTCGGTTGATGATGGTGACGTCGGCGCCAGACTGTACTAGGAGTTTCACGCTTTCGAGGTGGCCGTTCAACGCAGCCCAGTGAAGGGGAGTGTTGCCTGCATCGTTGACTGCGTTTAGAAATGCCGGTTCTGGCTTCTCTGCGCTTGTCGAGAAGAGCAACTTGATAATATCTATGCTAGTGAGAATGGCTTTCGACCACGCACGACTGGAAATGTTACCGTTGTGACCATTGGCAGCAGCATAGTGCAGTGCGCTATTCTTCGAGTATGGGTCGATGGCCGCAGCGAACAGTTCCGCCTTCGGTCGCTTGGTCTGTGTGGACAGTTCGGAGACGTATGAATCAAGCTCGGAAGGTTCGTTTGCGCGCGCGAGGTACAAGACCTCGTCTATGGCATCTTCGTCTAGTCCTGCCATGTCTGCTTGTCGGCCTGCGCTTTGGGGACCTCTGTGCTTCCGAGTAAATATTTTCTGACAGGTCTGCCCAATGAGGAAAGCGGGGGCGGGGTGCAAGTAAGCCTGCTGGCGGCTAGTCCAGAACAGGCCGTAGCTTCTGGAGGACTTCTCGGGGCTGCAATCCACCGTTCGCGGCCGATGCTGCACCTGCCCACCCATCACTCTACATATGCAAGTGCGCACGCTGCCTGGCCATGCACTATACTCAAACAAGGCGTTTTACCTCCTTATCTTCCTCTCATCACCGAAATCTCAACTTGATACTGCACCCTTACTGCAGATCCTGCACTGTTAATGAGAAGGTATAGCAATCAATCTATGGAAGCGCTAGAAGGTCAATACGCATGCACGAACTATGACGTGCAGCAATATGCTCTAGCTTGTCCTTGACTGTCGGTGTCTACCGACTTACATATTCCGAGTTGCTCCTGGCTCGCTTGTGCATTTGGCAGATTCCTTCCCACACCGGCTTTGACAGACTGACACAACGACTAAGCACCAGCAGAACCGAGAAGACGGTCCTCTCTAAATTTTACTCTCGAAACCTTCTTCGCGTATCTCCTCGATTAGTAGGAAAAGGTTTGCGAACAAAACAGGGAATGGCTATTGCACTCAGGTGTATGATACTACCTCAGAAGATCATTGGCTTTTTTGTTCCAACATCCAACTCACGATTCGGTACTTATTTGATACAGCTGAGCGTTCGGACGTGTGGCTGTGTCACAATGGGGACGGGAAGCTCCCACGCCACATTGAAATTACCCGGTTGCCGTCTTGTGTCGGAGCGGTAAACTGGGTTCATATGAGCCTACTTTGGTTATTCTGCTTTGTTGAGAAGCAAGACAAGCTGAAGCAGACCTAGCACGCAAACGGAGTTCCCGGCTTCGCTTCTTCCCTACATGGTCTCATTCGTCTGCGGCCTGCAGAAAGAAACGTCTATCTGTGCGGCGTACGTCATGAGAGTGTCGGCTCGCCTACACCTGCCACTTAGTACTCAGCTTCCCAAGGCAGGTCGGCTCGACTGCTTGAAGGTGTTCCCACTCAAACCTTCATCCTTCCGCTAACCCTTGCCCAAGCATAGATTGCGCAAGGTCCGTTGTGTACCCTGAACCTGGTCTTCCCGCGCAAATCCAAGATCCCAACAGGCTTGGGCAAGCAAGTTCCTCGGAGACTGCACTACGCGTCTTGCCGAGGCCGTTTCAGAGCTTCTAATCAGATTCCCACCAATCGCACTCGACAGAATCGGTCCGATAGCGAACGTCTGATCAGAAATCTCCCAATGTTCAATCTAGAGCGGAAGGATTGTACCACTGTTAGGTCGCTCCTTGGATCGAGTCCTGGACATGTGAAAGGAGAGATTGTCACTGGGATCGGCGCGGACCTTAATATCTACCTAGATGAAGCTGGAACATTGTCCGTTCGGATCAGTGCCGAACCTAGTCATGTAAGATTACAACCACTCAGGCCAAGCTGATATGAATAGGCGTTTAACTTCAGAGGCACTCCGCAATTGGTACTCCGCACCGGCTTCTTAACGCTTGCTCGTTCGCTTCAGTTGTTGAAAATAATCAGGCGTATCGCTTGCCGAAAGCAGACATCGCCCGAGAAGTCACCCTAGTGCACAGCGTAGCCGCGATCCTGGATCGGCAACGTCCACCAAGGCATACGGCGCCGTGCGATAGACATACAACAAACGGGAACAGAATAGATCTTCAGAAAGGGAGCCATATTCGCAGTCGTTGCCTGATATGGAGCCTTTCGCGTGGTCACATAACAACCCGGAATGTTCACATCGAATTACCTATTTTTCACCAAGATGACAAAAATCGAGTACATTGCAGAGAATTTGCATGCGGCAGCAGCCGATCGAGCAATCTCCAGAGCGGCACCATAGATACACCCGCACTGCTTTCCAGTTCACGCCGCTTTAAGCCACAAGTGCTATTGGTCTTTTGTGGACGTTCTCAAAAGTTACTTTACTTTTTAGCCTTCCCACGCCGCACACTAAGTTACCCCGCGGACGCGAAAGTCGTAGCGATGCCTGCGCTAAGGATTGTGCAAGGGGGAGAGGCGGCATTTGGACGCCACTACATCGATAGTAATTGCTGCATCTGGTCTGGTGCAGCCAATGTACCGATGCTCGACTAACGGAAGCCGCGTATCACCTTTCGGGGGTGTGGGTATCGCAACATTAGCTCTCGGCTCACATTACCCTGCTGCGCCGCGTGGCTGCATCAATACCAACACTTCAAGCCGTTTGTCGACAAGATTCGTGGAGCTGTAAGGATTCCTTCGACGCCTCCAGCTTCCAAATCCTTCCTGTGTGGCCAACGTGAAGGTCAGCAGCGCATTATATCTTATGCAAGACATCGTGTCATACATGGGTAAAGTATGCTACATCTCCACTGAGGCTCGGTAAGCCCATAACGTCTACGCAGATGTCGATCGGTGTGATAGGCCGGCTTCGGGTGCCGCTAGCTGCTCAAATTGTTGAGAAGGACAACGTACCATTCCAGAACATCCACTCCAGGCTTTCAGAGAATTCACTCACGGGGTCCATGTCTTCAACGCTTACCTCTGAGGGGTTTTCTTGACATAGATCCTGCAATATCTCTTCCTCGGATAGGGTCACGCTAGCTCCCTTGCCGGCTAGCCAATGAGCTAGCCACGGCATGCTATCCGAAGGCAAGACCCTTCCACTGGGGCTGTCACTACCGTCATTGCCAGCCAGACGGGAGTTACTCCTACCGCCTAACTTACCGATAAGGCCCCCTCTCTTATTCAACATGACTCGACTATCGTTGGCTCTATTCTTCCGATCGCTTAACAAATCGCATCTTTGAAGAGGAGTCATGATAGCTCCACAACAAAGGCACTTTCATTCGGTTCAACGCTAATTCTAAACGGCGGTGCGCCCTGATGAGCGCTGATCTGGCGGGCCGGCATAGAAGCTTTCGCATCATCTCAACAGCGGGACATGGATAGACAGGGACCTCAAGCGCTCTTCGCGATCCTTCGCTTGCGGAAGAGAGCGATTGCATCCACGGGGTTTGGCTGAAACGAAGGATGGACATGCACACTGCTTGTTCTTCACATGCCAATACTGCCGTGTGTCTAGCAAGGGGGCGTCAACATGCTTTAGCAGGACAACTACACTTGTCTTAGACGTGATTGCAGTGCCTTAGCGGACGGAACGGGTGACATCCATCAACGGGGCATCCTATTCAGGTTTGTTGCTCCTTCTCACCATGCCTGTCTCCCTGCCTTCGTCGCCATTGCGGCCCATCGCTTGCTCTGTTGCGTATTGAGTTTGATGGCAACCGTGGCCCCTTCTGACTACTGTCAAACAGAAAAGCTAGTAACAGACTTGTGTGCGACATGCTCGCACTACCGCAGTCACGCCGATTGTGACGCTGGAATTGTAGATGTAGGGGGAGGAGGAACGTGTCTTCACAGTATAGTACTGTGCACAAGCTCCCGAGCTCCTGGGATCGTTGAGTGATCTTACGTACAAACAGCCGTGCTTGTGCTGCCTACTGCGTAGTATGTAAGAAGAGCTTTCGGGCCGTAAACAAATTTGCATGGCGATTATCATGACTGCAACTGCTACGCATGCCTTGCAGTCGTTCCGTTCGATAGTATGCATGAAAGTTTCTTCTTTAACACAACAGATCCTTCACTGCGCCTAACAGCGTGGCGCATGATTGTGCAGCTCACTGATGCATGCTGCTGTTACTGGCAGAGAACGATACCAGAACTGGACAGATCTTTAATAACACCCACACCTGCTCATATACTTGTCTCAATGCATGCTTTAGGTGCGCGGAAGTATGATGCCAAAAGGTCCTCAAAGGACGCACCCAGATATGCATAGGAATTAAGATGGGATATGCCAATACGAGGCTTTTGATTATTTGCATGATGTCTCAACGCCGGGAAGGTAGTAAAAGCGCTCTCGTACTGTGTATGCTACGCTAGCTGGACAATCGTCGACAGAATGGATAAGGAAAAAGAAAAAGAGTCGGGCCTTGCGCCGCGCTATGTGACATCCGAAAAGTGAAGCTGGTGATGGTACATGTATCCGAAACGCCTCCTGCACGTGAATTCGTGCTACATGTGTGCATGTGCCATGTCAAGCGCCTAAAACCATCATCTAAGGAGGAGACCTTAGAACCATAAAATCAAAACCAACAAAGACGTTTACTCCTCAATGAGAGCGCCTAAGATCAAACTCTGAATGACAAACTCCGCGCACGTAATCTTTACCTTATGCCCATTCACTTCTCCTTTGATGAGAAGCTCTTCTTGCACTTCAGTCTCATCCCTCTTCCTTTTCTTGGCCTTCTTAGTCTTGCCATTGGCGACAGGCTTCTCGGTACCGAGCAGCATTGCGGCAGCCTCAGCGACACCGCCTTCGCCGTTGTCCACATATACCCAGTCCCACTTGCCGCTAGTGAGCATATCGGATGCGCTCACAAGATCGGCGCAGCGACCGACTGTAGCAGACCCCAGAGCGTGGGAGAGGAATACGAATGGTTGTCGCTTTTCAACTTCCTTCTTCGATTTGCCGGTGATAAGAAGGACACTCTGGCCTTGGAAGAGAAGATCACGATCTTGTATGATTTGGGCGAAGGAGACGTCCTCGCCAGCCGGGTCGTAAGGAGCCATTGTACGGGATCGCACGACACCGTTCGGATCGAGGAACTTGGAAACACCAGCGGGCAGAAGGTATCGCGTAAAGGGCGCAGCGCGAGATGCGTTCAGCGAGTCATGAATCCAGCGAAGATGCAAACACGGAACATTGAGGGCGAGTGCTTGAATGTACTTGGTGCTGCGAGAGTGAGAATCAGAGATGAGAGCGACGAAGCCCAGGTCTCTGTATGCTTGCTTGAGCACCAGTGCAGCAGACCCCTCGATAGTAGAGGCCGATCTACGACGGCTCTGAGATGATGTTGGTGCCT